CTACCTACCCTACCTACCCTACCTACCCTACCTACCCTACCTACCCTACCTACCCTACCTACCCTACCTACCCTACCTACCCTACCTACCTACCCCACCTACCTACCTACCCTACCTACCCTACCTACCTACCCTACCTACCTACCCTACCTACCCTACCTACCTACCCTACCTACCCTACCTACCTACCCTACTTACCTACCCTACCTACCTACCTAACCTACCTAACCTACTCACCTACCTACTTACCCTACCTACCTACCCTACCTACCTACCCTATCTACCTAACCTACCTAACCTACCTAACCTACTCACCTACCTACCTACCCTACCTACCTACCCTACCTACCTACTGTCCCTAACACTCCGAACCATCCACCTGGCTTTTACATACCTATGATGATTCCCGCCCTCCAACGTTTCTCCACCCTGTCCCTTGTTCTCCCTGTACTCTCCCCTCTCCCACGCGCCGTCCGCAGCTCGATGTGCACTGCCACCGCAACACCGCTGGCCCGTCAGGTGGCCACACGGGCCCTGCGGAGGGCCGGGGACTCCGCTCCCGTCACCCTGCCAACCATAACCGGCCTAGCTGGGGGCGCACGGCCGCGTGACGCCACGCCGCTGCTGGTCCACGCATCCCCCGACGGCGCCGCCACCGCCGCGACCACTCAGTCGTCATCGTCTCTGTCGCCGCAGCCCTCCAGTCCTCGGCCCCGGCCACTCGGCCCCGGCGGCGGCTACCACACCGCCCCGCAACTACGGCAATCCACGACACTCGAACCCCACGTCGAGTCCGACATTGGCTGCCAAGACATCGCCGTCAGCGCCGCAAACGCAGGTGCAGGCGTGACCACGGGTCCCTCCGCCATCTCCGTGCCCTGCACCGACGTGCCCGGCGGTTGCTGCGGCGCAGTCCCCGGGCTATCGCGGCAACCGCACGCCAGCGCGCGGGAGCGCTTCTCCCGCCTCTCCTCTATCGGTGCCAGTGAAGCTATGGGCGGCGGTCGGGACAGCTTAGGCACCCAAGAGGGCTGTAGGGAGCCACACAACGAGGGGACGACGTCGACGCCGTTACCGCCTCAAAGCGCGCGCAGCATGCCTTTCTGCAATGTTAGGACAAGTAAGGACAAGTCGCCCCTGCGTGCTGCCTCTAGCACCAGTGCCTTCGCTGTCGCCGTCACTTCAGCCGCCGCAGCGCCAGGCTTCCGAAACGCAGCAGCATCGCACAGCAGCGCCAGGACCCTACCCACCGCGCCGCGTTTGTCGCTGCGGCCTCACGGCATCATGCCGTACAGTCATTATGGCCAGAGCCAGCGCGCCAAGCATGGTCGGATGCCACCTCGACGCATAAGCGATTACAGCATGCACCCCATGCCGCCTACTTCGACGTCGCTCATGGAGTTAAAGTCTATGGCAGCTTCCATTAAAGCCCCGGCACCGACATTACGGTCGACTCTGACAAAGCCTCCAGAGGCACCTCCAGCGTCACCGCCAGACACGTCAGCGGTGGCGGCATCAGCAGCGCCTCCGCCGCCGCCAGCGGCCATCGCGGTCACAGCCGTAGCGGAGAATGCTGCCCTCGCAGCTACTGCCCGCTCATCGGCCTTGTGCTCCAGCCGCAGTGTCGAGCCCAGTGCTCCTCCCGAAGACTACACAGGCGACGGCACGGGAACCGGCTCTGAGACCACCAGCTTTACGCGTAGCGGTAGCGGCAGGGTTCAGGCGCTTAGCAGCGGCGTCTGCGACCCACCTACAGCGTCTAACACCTCCACCTGCACATCCACATCGACCTTCACGCCTATGTCCTCCACGGGAACCTCCACGGCCGTATCCGCGGAGGTGGCCTTGTCACGGAAGGGCTCCGAGGGTGAACCCCAGCCTCAGCTGGCGCAGCAGCTGCACGCCGAGATGCCACCTACTCCCCCCGCTGTGGTGGGGCAACTGGATTCGCCGCAAGGAATGCAGCAGCAGCAGGAGCAGCAGCAGGAGCCGCTAAAAGAGTGTTCTTTGCAGGAGTCACCTTTTGCACGTTGTACGCCAGACTCCCCGGCTCCTTCAATGCCCACAGCCGCAGCATCCCCGGCATCGCCGGCCGATTCGTGGCAAGTGCCGGCGGCGTCGCCGCCGCGGCAGGCGGCTGGAGCCCTCACGGCAGTAGCAGCAGCGGCAGCGACGCCGCCGCCTGCGGGCGCGGGGCACCTGCTGCCACCGGCGCAGTCGACGTTGGGCGAGTTCGTACCACAACGGACCCCGGGCCAGGGTCTGATTCACTTCTCCCCCGAGGCGCCTTTGCAGATGCTGCGGGCTCCCGCGTCCTGGGCCGTCGCAGATTATAAGGTCGTGCGGAAGTTGTACGCGGGCTATGCGAGCTCCGTGTACAAGGTAGGTAGGCAAGTGGTTGCCCATGCCCCGCCCTCAGTCCGCCACTCCACTGCGCTGCACTGCACCTCGCCAGCGCCGGGGCCTCTGCTTTTCATGTCCATACCGAGAGTTGACACACACACACACTGCTGCCTCCCCTGGTCCGTTGGGATTATGCGAACCTAGGTCTAACATGCCCTGTTGGGACATCGGGGGCAGGGAAAGAGGCTCACTCAGCAGGAAGTGGTGACCCCGCCTGAAGGAAGCGTCTCATGACCCACCATCATGACGCACCTTATCCTGCCGTTATCTTACCTCCTCCGGCCTCCCCCGGCCTTTCCCTTACCCGCATGGTGCGGCACCCACATGGGTTGCGATAATACACAGCTTCCACTCGACCCCTCCACTGCCCCGTTCCTCTGCAGGCCCGCTGCCTGTACTCGGGAAATGATGTGGTGCTCAAGGCCTACAACCTGGCGGGTCTGTCCACATTCCTCCGAAACCAAGTGCTTAGGGAGCTGGACATACATTCACGACTGAGGCATCCGGGTGTCGTACATCTGTTGGCGGCGTTTCGGGTAAGGCGAGGTGGCCGAGCAGTGACGGGCGAGAGGCGTGAGGGCTTGTGAAGCTGGACTGGGAACCCATGACACGTCCAGCTACCGTAGTCCCCCTTACCAACCCCTCCCCCCTTTCCCCCCTCCCGTGCCTCAGGAGGATGAAACCCTGGTTCTGGTTCAGGAGTACATTCGGGGCGGCTCCCTGGAGCGTGTTCGTCGCAAGCTGGGCGGTCGCATGAGCGAGTTTCAGGCCATGCACCTGGTTCTGCTGCCGCTGCTGGGTGTGCTGAGCCACCTGCACGAGCAGGGCATCGTGCACAGGGACATCAAGCCGGTGAGAGCAGGAACCCGCCGGGATGGATGGAAGGAGGGGGGAAGAGTTACGGGACGAAGTGGACAGGTGGAGGCGTTACAGGGGTAGCGGGGAGGAGAGGAGGCGAGGGGGATACGATAGGGAGATGGAAGGGGGTCGTGCAGCTGCGGTGATGACCACATCACCATGCCGGCTCCCTTTCGCCCTGAACTCTACCCCCCCCAGGAGAACCTGCTGTTCACGGAGAGCTGGCAGCTCAAGTTGTGTGACTTCGGAGTGTCCATCTGCCTGAGGGAGGAGAGGGCGGTCACGAGGACGGGGTCACGCGAGTACATGGCGCCGGTGGGTGGCCGGACGGGGGGCCCGACCGATAGCGGTGGAGGGGACCCGCTGCCAGGGGGCAGGGGTCCGAAAAGGTGCAAAGAACTTGCTTGTGTTGCCAATGGAATCTTTACCTTTACCACAAGGTTGGCTCAAAGTTGTGGGTAGCTGGACAAGCTGGGCAAGGCAGCCGGCGTCAACGGCGCCAACGGAGCTAGGACCGGTTGCCGATGTGAACCCCTCTCTTGCCCCCTGTCTCCCAGACCCGCTTGAACTCTGTCATCACCGCCATCACCCACTCCCGTCTGCTCCGCGTTCTGTAGGAGGTCAGCATCTGCCCGCTGAAACACCTTCCCGAAGACAACAAGGACAACCTGTCGCTGGCGTACACATCCGCCGTGGACGTGTGGTCCCTTGGTTCGCTGATGTACGAGCTGCTGGTCGGCTTCACGCCCTTCCCTGGAGGTCCCCCCCCGCGGCGGGAGGGCGCGCGGGGCTCGGCGGGGGCGGCGCTGGCATTCCCGACCGGAGTCAGCCAGGCGGCCAGGGCGTTTGTGAGGGACTGCCTGCAGCTGGAACCGGAGGACAGACCCACGGTTCACAAGCTGACCCGGCATCTCTGGACCCAGGAGGCGCTGGTAGGTGACCCACCAGCGCCGTGGTGGTGGTTGGGTTCTGTGTCTTGCGCACGGGGGTGACCGTCCGCTTGTGAAGGTTTGTGCCCTTGCAGGGAGGTGCTAGGGGGACGGGGCATTTACACGCAGGAGGTATACCCTGTGATGTTCCCCGTGCGGGCTCACAGCTGCATGCGCATGCGAATGCTGCCCATCAACTGCCGCCCATCGCTTATGGACTCCCGCACTTTCACACTCCCACTCGCAACCACTGAACGTCCCCCCTCTCCACACGCCCCCAACCACAGGAGTACAAGGCTGACCCTTCCAGCAGCACCTAACTCCTAGCCCTAGTCCGAGTCCGAGTCCAGGCCACCTAGCCACTTGCACTCCCCACAACATCCCACACAACACAACAGAACACATCCGAGGCTCCATGATGTTGCAGTCCTGGTGATCAGCGGTTGAGGGGCCGGAGTTGAGCACTTGGGTGTTGGTGGCGCAGGGTGGGAGAGGGAAGCAGCACAGCGCGGTGTAACCCCCTGGCTGGGGTCCTGCCCCCGCTGCAGCCTCCCTGCATGGTGTGCCTCGACCCTGAGGTTGCCCGCGAGGAGCCGGACTGAGTGGGCGGCCGTGTGGGGGCCTGTAGGAGGAGGGGGGCCAAAGGACGGACGGCACTCGGGAGCTACAAGCGCATCACCCGCATGTGGGACCGACCGATACCCGCAGGGCGGGCTGAGAAGAAAAGGTGTCCCCTTACTAGCTTATCTACCTACCTACCTACCTACGACACGATGTCACAAAGAAGGATCACATGTCTTGTAGTATCGTACTACGCCATGATATGATGGCGCGTTGCCGCACGCGGCGTTCTTGTGGCCCGCACCCTCTGCGTATTACAGATGTCAGTTGCATCTGAACGGTTTGCCCGTGATCTGATTCATAAGGTGGGCGGCAGGCGGCAGCGGCAGCGGCTGCGTGGCATGTCCCCCCTGCCACCCGGCACTGGCACTGGGAGTACTGGTGTACGTCTGTGATCATAACCATACACATGTGCATGTACAAATACGTACATATGTGCTGCTACGTACCTTGTGCGTCTATGTATGTATCTGTAGGTAATAGCAGTACCGGGGTTGCCGGCTTACATGGGAACCTTCGCGCCCAGAGAAGGGTCGCTAAGGGGAAGCGGTGCCGAATGCCCCGTCATGCGCAATGTTCGTAGCTGCATACGCGTGTGTGCATATCCGTGTCCTTGTCAGCTCTCCAGCTCTCCAGCTCTCCACTATGTAGCCTCTCTGCAGGAGGCTTTAGTAACGGCCTCTGGACGACTCGCGCACCGCACTGAGTAGTGGTTACGTGAAGTGACTTTCCTCCGGTGCGATGCCGTGAGAGCTGCGGGGACCCCAACCCCCCAACACTCGTTCGTGGTTCGTCTTTACCCCAATCCCCCAACCCCGTGAGAGGGCTATGAATGGATGACCCTGTGCGGTGTTACCCCGCGTTACCCTCCTGTGCATCGGATGGATGTATCTGGGGGCTATCCGGGCCCCAGTCAGTCGTGGCCATAGCGGTTTCACAGTCGCTACATGACGGGCGCGTGGGGTGGGACGGACGTATCGTGGCGAGTGGGGCGGAGCCGAGGGGTCCGGGGCAACGGGGTCCTCCGGGGCTTTGTTTCAGTCACTTATGAAGAAGAGGGCTTGTTACTCGCCAACGTCATCACGCTTGTAGGCGAGCAGAGGTGATTAGGTGGTTGGTTGGTCGTGTGCGGACTCCACCGGCTCATGTGAAATGCGTTTGAGCTGTCCTTGCTTGGTTAGTTTCTTATGTGGGCGTTGCAATGGTGTTCTATTTCTCAGGGGACTCTCATGGGAGCAGTGCTGTCACTGGATGCACGTCATCTCTCCTGGTGTAAGCGGGTGTGTGTGATAGCTGGGTTGGGGGTGCTGGAGGCCAACTGTCGACATGGGAGCGAGGGGCTGTGGAGCGCTCCGACGTGTCGGGGGCTGTTTGGGCTCCGACGTCTCGCGGTTTGCTGACAGCGACCTGCGGGGATTTCAGTGCCCGTGGGGTTGCCCGGGGGCTTGCCAATGTCCTGTCCCGACCTGTTGTTGTGTGGAGGGAGGGGAAGCTGGGAGGCTAGATGCGCACATTGGGAGTGGTTGGGACGAACGAAAAGGACACACACCGCTGCTGGTGACGCGGACTGATGCACTGATTGTCGCTTGGAATTGCAAGCTGCTTTTGCCGCCGCAGCGGCCGCGGCCATTGCTGCATCATCTCCATAACGCGTGCTGTTGCGGTTGCTTTTGTTGCGGGTTTTGTTACAGCTACATCTTATGCTACTGACATTTTGTTCTTTTTGCGCATCATCAGCACTTTATTCGTATGGACAGCATACAAGGTGAAATTGACGTGTGGTTGTGGCGGTTGTGGCGACGTTTTATAGCCACCAAGTGTGTGTTATGTGCATACACATACACACTTGTGTGCATGCGCACGTTCAAACCCCGAGACGGACGAGGAACTTAGGATTCTCTCCTTCAGGGCATTCTTTCACACCAATAATAACAATAGTAGCAGGGTGATCTCCTTTGCAAGATGCCGTACAAGAGCATTGGAGCCGGGGGATGATCGTGTGTGTATGTATGTATGCATGCATGTATGCATGTAGCTGGATGTAGCTGGATGTTGGCTGAAACGGCTGTTGCTTGGTTGGTTTGGTTGCGGACAGCTCTGATGATGGATGATGCAGTGAGCGCGGTTACCGATAGCGGTGGGCTGCTGCGCCGCTGCTGCAGGTGTTGGATGTATATGAGACATAAGTACATAGTACTGGGCGTTGCGCCCTTCTAACACATAGAGATGCATACGTACGGGTGCACGTTGTCGGATGTGGAAGTGGACGAAGGTTGAAAACACAGCCGCGGCAGGTAGGGTGTTCCCCGACTGTGCGGCAGCCGATACTACCACGCACCTTTTGGGGGATGCCCTGGTTGCAAAAACCACAGCGGCGGCGGCATCCGGAGGGGTCTACCTCAAAAACATTTATCTCCAAATGGTTTGGAGAATTTGGTTGATTGGTGTTGCCGACGGCCGCAGTCAGTCATTGCCTCAGATGGAGAAAGCCGTGCTTTGGTTTTCTTCCTTCACAGCTTGGCTCCGACTGCCCGTTTGCCGTTGAATTGGTTGATTGGTACGCATCGCAAAGGCCCATATATGCCTACTTTGCTTTGCTTATCTATACGTGGAAATCAAACGTGCCGGCACCACCCTGGGCGAAGCTGCCGCGGGCTGCGGCTGCTGCTGTGACTCGGGCTGACGGGGTACAGGCAGCTGCACCTGGGGCGGCTGTGGTCCTTGCCGCGGCTGTGGCTGCGGTGCCCATTTGACATTTCTGCAGCGCTGGCCGCGTTGGCAACGGTTGTGGCAGTTGCAAGCCTGGGTACGTGATGTACGGCATTATCGGCAGTACGTCCCGGTGTGCTGTGGTGGTGTCCAAGGGCGCTGTGCTGTAGAGACGCAAAGTGAGCAGCAGCAGCGGTATGATTGGAAAATCGGCGGTCGGCGCTTCGCGTTACTCTGGGTGCCACGTGTCTAGCGCGAGCACAGGTGGTGAGAGTTACCATTGTGAATGAGGCGCCACCCCTGGCATTGGCCAGGTACCTCTCGGAAATTTGGAAGGCCAGGCACGTCGCGCTGAGGCGCTTCGCCCTGAAGCGGAGGAGGGAGGAGGAGGATGGCCTCCCGCGTCAATACCCGCATCAATACCAATACAACGTCCATGGGGCCCCCGGCTTCTACGGACACATCCGCACTTGTGTGCGGAACTTGTAACTTGTTTAGTGCCGATCTGGGCGACAAAGGGCGGTAGGCGTTGAAGTGCGCGTTTAGGGCGGTCACTACGACAGTTAGTCGTGTTAAGCGGTGAAGATGGTGATCCGCAAGCCCGCTGTAAGCAACGGCGGTAGCGATCGTAGTACAGTTGTATATAGTTGTGTGGTAGTAAGTGTGAGTAGGCGGTAATGGGTTTCAACTATGAAGCTAAGCCGTGTCGTGGTCGTTTCGTTTTGTTGGCTTTTTCGTTTCTCTCGCAGCAGCATGAAACGTTTCGATGAATGCGGGTGGGCCATCCTTCCTGCGTGAAGTTTGTAATATGGATAGTCGTCGGATGGCTTGATTAAATAACTGTCAATTAACCCCTTCTGTATGAATTCTGTTGCCTCAGTAGTGCAACCCTCGTCAGCCGCTGTACGAATCGCATTACCGGTGCGTCGTCGATGAAGGAGGTTAAACGGGAACGCAAGCTTTACACTCCAAAGACATATATTTAAAGATAAGGTTATTCGAAACGCCGTTCCAACAGTACCTCCGCCCATTTCATCCCCCCCCGGAAACTGCCCTCCTTGCGATCCGAGAGCCCGAGAAGAGTTTGTCGGAGCATATGCTCCATAGTACCGGTTGCACAGCGCGGAAAGAGAAGAAAGAATCTTTGACGCGTGTTTTCCTTAGGGTTCCGCGAAAAGGTCGTGTCGCCATCGGGACATGAAGGCTCGATACCGCGCGCTGCATAACACCGCACCCCACCTGGTATGCGGCATCATACTGGAGTTATCCAGCAGTCAGTGCTATCCCGCCGTGCAAGCCGTATCCAGTGATATTACATAACACCCGCAAAAGAAACAACGCAGTGCGCTCAGGTCTAAGGCGCGTAGATGTCAGGAGAAGGCGTGCGGCTCGACGGCGGGCCAAGATCATGATGCATTGTAGCTGTCACTAGCCGTGCAGCTCCATCGGACAGCGCGGCTGTCCACGGCCCTGGCGTGCCCCGCAGCCCACGGCTCATTTTATGCAGCATCTGCCCTGGCTTGGCTCACAAGTTATACCGTCGTAATCTACTATATCTGCGATTACTATACCGCTTTCATTCTCATACATGTTTCATGCAACGCGGGGATGTGCAGTGACGCACCCACCTCATGTTGCACGCTTCCGGTTTGAGAGTCCTCACGCATTCTTAACACACATAAATGTATGATCTGTGAAACAGGGGGGTGTATCTTGGCCCGTGGCAGCTACCCTGCGAAACCCTGCCTTCCCCGGTATTTCGGGGCCACTCATCCAGTCACCCTAGTCAACTTCTCAGTGGATCGCTCAGGTTCCGCACCCACCACCAGCATCCAACGGAATCTGCCGGGTCGACAGCGGCCCAACTCCATTCCTAGTCGGCTCGCAGGTTAATTTTATCCCAGGTCACCACCGTCCATCAACTAGGGGCGCAATGCCTTCCATCATCGGAAGGACTTTTGACCCTACCGAGTATCGATCCCGGGATCTCTCGGGGGCAATGGTCGCGCATTACCAGTGGTGCCAAACCCTTATATAAATGTATATAAATGTATATAAATGTATATAAATGTATATAAATGTATATAAATGTCACTTGAGTCACCCAAGCACCCACACCAACTGGGCGCCCAAAAGCCTTCAGTGATCCCGACAGTGATGAACCTCATGGCACCTTGATAGCCGAACAGGTGAACGCGGAGGTTCTTTCCTAGCAACACCCACTGGGTGCTTGTGACCTGTTACGGCCACCAGGTCCACCGGCTCACAAGGCGAGTTTGGGGCGGGTCTTGGCGGACGAATGGCGGGTAGGAGACCGGCTATGACTTGCTATACCTGCAGACCGACCTGCTCTCGCCCCAACATCTCCGACAAAACCCCCTGTCGCCGCTGCTTTTGCTTCCCTGTCGCATTACTGATGCCCTTAATGGCCGCCGGCCAGGAAGCCCGCCACTGGCACTGCAGTTGGGCGATCCTAGGGTCCCGTTCCAAAACCCGCTTATGAGCCGGACCGGCCGGGGCCGAACCTCCCAGGACCCGCCCTTGGCGTTGGAGGACATCCCATCCTGAAGTAGGCTGTGCGGTTCCGGGAAAGGGCAGTTCGCAAGTGGCACGGCCCTGAGGAATGGGTTTGTGGATTCGCGCTCCCCGTAACGCTTGCACGTTGCGGTGTCTGAACAGCTGCAGGATGCCAGTACCCTAGTAGCAGTTGCCAGTATACAAGGTCCACACAAGCGCGGGGCACGTCCGTAAAATTCTGCGGGTCCATGGACGGTCATTATTGTGGCGCCGAGTGTGGACGTTGTCATCGTCGCCTGGGCTCGCCGCTGCCTGAGCGGGACGGATTGGTCTTGTGGGCCCTTCTGCTTGCATGGGTCCTACGGATCCTTTCATGAGCGGCACAGCGGTCAGTGGCATCTGGAGACCCGCTCCGAAGCCCTTTAACGTAGCAGGCTGCAGAAAGCTGCAATTTTGGAACCATGGGACACAACATCCCCACACCTTGATTGGACCTGAACGCAGCCTCGGAAGTTAAATAAGTGGTACGAAGATGACGTAAATTGACAGTTCAATCCCAGCGCTGCTGCCAAAGTGCGATTATCTGGACGCCGGGACCCAGTGCCGTAGACCGGCGTTAGACAAAATAAGTTGTAGAATCAAATGTCCCTTAATTGCGTTATTTGCAGCTATTACTGCATTTGCTTTGGAATTAGAAACCGCCGACAACGTACGAGCGCACAATGGAGGGAATCTTTCCGAGAAACTTCATGCAGGAAATATATTTTGAGCACGGGAACTAGTAGCTCAAGCCGGCATACTACTTTGTGAAAATTCCTGTATCGTACGGCAAGCACCGATGCTTCTGTTGCGGAATATGCCAAACCTACAAACCGCCTACGCGACCAAAAGTGAAGCTATTGTCCCTATTCCAAAGCCATATTGATGGTTTTTGTGTCCTTAGATCAACCAGAGTGCTACGGACTGCACTTCCAACGAGGAGCGCTCCGAATTGACCACCATCGGCGAAAGCCCAGAGCGACGACCTAACTGTAACGGTGAACACCTTCGACTCACAACGACCAATACGCAGGCCAGCGGGGAAGGTACGCGGACTTGACGCCTCTTGTCTGGATTTTAAGCCGGCACCCTATATAGCGTTTCCTATTCATGAACCGACCCAGCGCCCAGCCCCGAAGCGGCACCGGAACGACATATTGTCAAACACCTTTGTCTGAAATACCGGAGAGGAATTTTGCTATCCCTGTTTGCACTGACCATTGAAACGCATGGGCAGAGCCCGCGCGTAGGCCTCGCCTCTCTGTGCGCCTGCTGCAACGACGCAATAACTTGCATCACGAAGCCAAAGAAAGGGCAAAAAACCCATAAATAAACACTGGTGGACGCATATGCTAAATTTCGCATTAATGACCCAATTGCCCTTGCAGACGCGGCATCCGCACATCGACATGGGCTGCACAACCTCCTGCATTGCGCCATCCGTGGCTGAACTCAATAAATCTGTGAAAGTCGGCGATGAACGCATGATACTTTTGAAGCTGGCTGCGTGTCCCAAGCTGCTAAGCACCACGACGTCGGTTCTTTCCTCGGCGGGATTAACCCCCGTCCACCAGGCCTGCGAGAGCAAGCAAGTCAAGGTAAGGCAGAAGCCGCTAAAGGTACCCCAATTTTCCGGTGACATTACTTCGTTTTCCTTACTCGGTCGTCACTGCCATTTCAACAGGCAGGCCCCTGCTACCCGCCGACATGGGGGTACATGCTAACCTGGTATTGGGCGACTCCGGTTAAATACGTAGGGCAGAAAGTAAACTTTTCAATAGGCCACCAATTAGGACCACACCATTTTGGAGCACCATTCCGAAATCCCCTTAACCCAGGGATTCATGTCGTGCTGCCCCTGCCAAGGACACGTGCTCGCCTAGGGACTCATCCCTCCTCCTTGGTCCCTTCCCTACCTGCCTGCCTGGGCCCCGCCGAAGCTTCTTCCGATCCATATCATTGGCAAATTCACACCACATGCACTTGCTGCGTGTCCGTATGCTCTGTCCTGGTCTGCAGGTCGTGGAACAGATACTCTCCTTCATGTCATGCTCCTCCCTCGAGACTGTACGGGAGGCGCTGATGCCGTACTGCCGGCGCGTGGGGCGGCAGCTGCCGTCCTCGGTAGTGGAGGGCGTCCGCCTCGTGGTGGACATGGCCAACTCAAAAGGTGGGTGCGTTATCCTCTCGAGCCGTCCGGGAACTGAACTGCTGCAAGGGGGGATCACCACCACCACCACCACCACCACCACCACCGCAGTAGTAGTCCGCCGCTGCCAGGTAATCAGCGAGACACGGCAACAACATCACCACGCACTTCGCGGCCGTGTGCTGCCGCCCGTTCTCCCAGGCGGCCAAGTGCAAATTCCCATTCCCGCCCCGAGGAAAGGCGGGTGGCAGGGCCACTTGAGCTGGAGCATGTGGGCATTTTTAGACTAGGAAATGTTTTGCTTGCTTTAATCAAGATAAAGGATGAATGAATGGTACTTCGGAACCTAGGGACAGACCTGCACAATATGCGGTTCTTCCTTGCCGTTCATTCGTAACATAAAGCAACAGCCTCGCTCTCCGCAATACGTACGATGCAGTTGGCGGTTGGTCTTAAGAAGTTGTCAACCACCGGTTCCCCATTCGCGTCTCCACCATCTGTTCGCCCTCTGTCCTCACAGGCCAGACCCCCCTCATGTACGCGTGCTTCTCCGACTGCCCCGAGATCGTCAAGCTGCTGCTCGCCCAGGTGAGAGAGAGCCGCCCCGGGGCCCCTCCCCCCCCCGCCGCACACATACACACACGCCTGCTCCTGGAGCAGCACTTGGAAGGAGCTGTCTGGGCTGCCCCCAATACCCGGCACCAGTGCGGCCCTCCTGGGGCTGCGGACTGACTGCAGTTCACCCCCCTTGGCTTGTTGCGGCATGTTGTAGTCCCATCTCCTGAAACCCTGGAAACTACGAAGTCTGTCATGCTGGCTCACACGTCTTGTGCGGTCCTCCACACGCTCCCGGTTACCCTCGTCGTGGCTGCCAGGGTGCGGACCCATGGGTGGGGGACCGCTGCGGCCGCCGTACCGCCTTGCACTACGCGGCCATGGGCGGCAGCTCGGCGTGCATCCAGGCCCTCCTGAAACACATTTCACCGCGTTTGCTCACACGACAGGGCGTAAGGTACGACAAGTTGGGTCAGCAGGCAACGAAACAACCACCACCGGGCACTTGCGCATTTCATGTTGGCCTTGCTGTCAAAGTCACCGATTCCCGAGGTGCACCTAGGATTGGAGTACTGGAGTTGCCTCTCGCGCCTCCCCTAGCGTGTTAGTTGCTTGCTTGTGGTGCGCTCTGGTTGCTAAGTTTAGGAATAGGACTACCATAAGGCGCTTGGGATGTAGTCCTAACATGTGACGGTTAAGGGTTTATATCCTTTGTGCTATTGCTGTCTCCTCAATCAAGCAATCCCCCGTCCTCTCGCGCCTCCCCCCCGTGCTGTGCTGTGCTGTACAGGTACGTGGACGCCCGGTCTCTGTGCGGGCTGACCCCCCTGCACTACTGCGTCTACTACGGTAACCTGGAGGCCCTCCGGGAGCTGCTGCACCACTTCGACCCGCAGATCAACGCCGCCACCACCAGCGAGAGCTACGACGTGTCGGTCACCTGCGAGGCGAGGTCCGCGCCCCTGCACTTCGCCGCGGTGACCGGGAACGAGGAGGCGGCGCGAGAGGTGCTCCGATACTACGTGAGTAGTGGGGGCAGCTGGGACATACACGTGTTGGAAGCAACTTCTGCTGCTGCTGCTGCTGCACCTGTAATGCGTGTGTTTCTTGTCTGTGTAAATCGCGTCAACTGCACTTCCGTCCCCTCCCCTGGGTAGTTAGCCGGTGAAGGGTCTCGCGAGGCCGCCCTACCCCTACCCCTCTCGCCCAATGCGGTCCGGAATTCACCCCTGGCCCCCCTGGCCCCGTACGCCCGCAGGCGCAACACCGGGGCAACCGGGCGGTCGCCGACCCCCGCACACGCAGCAATGCAGCGGGACAGCTGCCCTGGCAGGTGCGTGAGTGTGCGGGAGGTGTGTTGGTGTGTTGGTGCGTGGGCGTGTGGGAGCCCAAGGTTGCATGTGTGGAAGGATGGCGGAGGGATGCATGGCGCCCTTTCTAACTGGTGGCAGGGGTGCTGATCCCTTGCGACCCTCCTGGTCCCACTCGTAACCCCGGAAAAGGGCCGGTTCTTCGACCTGCGTGGGTTGTTCTCTCTTAACTCCCCCCTCTCCTGCCCTCCTGCGCTGCCCTGCCGCCTCCCCCCCACAAAGGTCGCGCTGTCCCACCACCCCGCCGCCCTGAGTATGGCTTCCCTGCTACACCCCGGGCAGCCCCTGGAGCGACTGCTGGAGGCCGGGACGGGGCCGCACGGGGCCCCGGGGGCTGGACTGGGACTGGGGCCGCCACCGCTGGTCGCCATCGCCGCCGCCGCGCTGCGAACCAAACTGCTGTCAGAGGTTCGGGACATCCGGGACCAGCACCAGCCGGACAAGACGGTGCGGGTGCGGGAAGGAGCAGTAAGCAACGAGGCCGAGGTGGGGGGGAAGGAGGCAGCGGGGAGGACGGAGGAAGGCGGCGGCGATGCCGCTGCTGCGGCCTCCATTGCAAGGGGAGAGTTTGAAGCTGCGACGGCATTGGCGGCATGTACGGATACGGCGGCGGCGGCGGTGCGCGTTGGCACCTCAGTCTGCTGCGGCTCCAGCACTTGCGGGGAAAGGTCGGGGCGCCGCATGGGGCAGTACCGTGCCGGCAGGGGCCGCCGCAGCGCCTCTGTTGCGCCCCTGCCAGACTGCTGCTCAAGATGCACGCAAGATGCCACAACAAGAGCAGCACCTCAAGCAGCAGCAGCTACTGCCGCTGTCGCCACCTCCGCCATCTCCTGCTACAGCTCGTGCGGTCCTGTGGAGGGAGGCCAGTCCCAGTCCCGGGTCGCGTGCGGAGCCGGTCACCCCCGTGGGCCCCCTGTGGGTGAGGAGGGCCAGGCGTGTGGGCCGGCAGCGTCGACTGCAGCGCCAGCACCGGCGGCCATGCAGGAAGTTAAGGAGGAAGGTGATGATGATGATGATGATGATGATGATGATGATGACAAGGAGGATCTTGATTGCGGTGTGTGTTTTGCTGCTCGCGTGTCCGTGTCCCCGGCTGGCTGCTCCCACGGTCTGTGCACCGAGTGCGCGGAGCAGCTGTGTGGTGGAGTGACCCGGCGGCCTCTGCAGTGCCCCTTCTGCAGGCGGGTGGTGACGGGGTTCGTCAAGCTGCGCTCTAAGCCGCAGCCGCACTAGGGAGCTGGGGGCAACGGGGGCAGTGATTATTGTGGTGGTGGTTTCATTCACGTGGCTGGCTGTTGGCGTTGTTTGTGTAGTGGTCCGGCTCCAATGTGTGCGGAGGTGAAGGTACTCGCTCTACGATTCCGATGGATAGATGGCTTCTACGTGTTCAAGGGCAGGGGGTCAGAGGGGGCCGGGAAACCATTATGATTGGCACTATGTCCTTTAGTCTTCTCTCCGTCTTCCTCCCCCCTCTCTCCCGCATAGGTGTGTCGTGTTGTAGGCCCGCAGGCTCTGTGGGTCCTGTGGTAATTCATCTCTTGTTGTTGTTGTTGTTGTAGATTAAGAAAGGCCGCATTACCTGATATATACACTGTCATCGTTGAATGTTGTATGTATGTATGTATGTATGCGCAGGGGTCTTTCCTGTGAGGTTCGCGTACGGCACGTGCGCTACACGTTTTTGGTTACTTTCCATTATTATTGACCCTGTGTGGTGCAAATGTATTTTCTGTTTCATCCGTGTATGCATTACATGTACAATGATAGAATAATGTGAGGGCTTATGCCGTAGGAAGGGATTGTGGTGCTGCGGATAGGAAGAGGAGGAAGAGGTGTGGGAGGAGGAGGAGAACCCCTTACAGCGGTCAACCTGGGACATGTGCCCGCCGCCGCCGCGCTGTGTCCAACCCGAACTCGTGTGCCGCAACGGCCTGATGTCAATACGAAATGTATCGCCCTGATCCCATGTAAATATCTCGGGGAAGGTTTTCAGTTTCGTACGACGCAGGTCACTAGCACGGTACGGCATATCAGTGAAGGGCATTCCTGTGACCAATGGAAGCCCCAAACTGCCAACTGCGGACAGTCCCCCGTGTCAGCAGGATTGCACCCCCCTTGCTGCGGTCCCCCCCGTGTGCTGCTGCACCCTACCCGGTTGCCGCTCGGTACGTGAGCCACCTGGTTGGGACTCTGCAACCGACAGCCGACTGCGCCGCTTAGCGACCTGGCTGCTGCTGTTGCTGCTGTTGCTGCAAGCCTGACAGAGTAACGCACGAACACTCCTCATACATACACCCCTCATCATGGCGCGGGGAATATGGCGTGCATCGCCTTCACATACCCTCCGTGAGTGGGGTGTACATCCAGAGAGAGGAATCAGGTCATTACAGCCGAGTCAGAACCTGTTACCCCACCCTCCTACAAATGTCAGGACGCGCCTGCCCCTGTTCATCCGCATGATGTTGCCTCTCATCACTACGCGAGAAGAGTAACGCCCCCACAGCAATCGACATGGGGTCACGGAGCAGTACGTCGCCGCCGGGACCCGTACAACCCTCGGGCCAGGATGCTCGCACACGGCCAGATAGGGCCCATCTGTACCCGGCGGCCCCACCCCACCCCACTTCACAAGCACACGTGCAGATCCCCGAGTGCCAGCACCCGGAGGTGGACGCTCCCAGACACCAGCGGGTGAGCGGGCCCCGGTGGGAGGAGGTCCCCTCGGCCGAGCTACCGATCCCAACACCGCGAAGGGGGAGGGGCAGCCTACAAGTAACCCACACTGCAGCTCCAATACAGGCCGCCACTACAGGCCGCTGCACCTAGCAACGTCCGCCATCACGAAGCCGCAAGATGACCCTCCCTCACGGAGCCCGTACACTTGTACACCGGGTATTATGTCCATCCGTCGGTATGTCCCGCGGTTGATGAGGCCACAAGGGAGGCACCGCCACTCCCACTACTTGCCCTACTCGGCCCGAGAGCAGTCTACTGGCCCTGCTCATGTGCCGAGGTTGCTGATCCAAACCTCACCACCACCAACACCACTACCGCCACCGCTGGGGCGTATTGGGCGTAACGTTGCGACCAACCACCGGATCTCCCCCCTGCCGCCGTACTGGATCCTGGATCCAGTATACCCTCTCCTCAGCCCGCCTGCCTCGGGTCTCTACCGGGGCCTCACCTGCGGCTGACCCGGCAGCCCACCTGGGGCAACCCGGCGGGGGGGGCAGGGGGGGCAAGGGGGGGGGAGCGCCGTGAGTTGTGTGAGGGCAGCAGCGGAGTGGGCCGCACACATCCCCCACCCGGTTGACGGGGAGGGAAACACACACACACACACACACACACACACAGAGGGGGAGGGGGGGATGTAACAGGGGTGGGGGGAAGCAGCACTTCAGTGGGTCGAAGTGAGCAAACCCGGCGGGTGGCTGGCGGAGGGCGGGCAGGTGCAGGTGCAGGTGCAGGTGCAAGGGTAACACCCCAGCTCAAGGTACGTAGTCGTTACGTCATCATGACGACGTTGCGAGAAGGGCAAGCAATCTGCCGTACATACCTGCATGCGGCTCTCCCCGGTGAGGGTGGGGTTCTCGCAGAGCTTGCCCACATCCTGTTGCGCAGTGGACAAGTGGGCAGTAGGGAGGGGCTCTGTAATGGTCTTCGCCAGCTGAGGCCGACGCATCCAGGCATACATGTCTCTCCCCCTCCCCACCCCGACACAAACACACACACACACACACACGTGATCAGTGATCACAAATTGCCGTAATTCGGCATGCCTCACCCCCGATGGAGCCCCCCCTCCCCCCATCTTCCCCGCAGTCCTCCCTCTGCCTCTTTCCCCCCTCTCTCCCTCTTCTCTTGCCTGCGAGCCGATGAGCGCGTCCTCCCACACGGATCCCTCCAGATCCGCCCCCGCGAACTGCGCCCCGGTCACCACCGTGTTGTTGAACCGCACACCGCGCAGATTGGCGCCAGAGAAGTCAACTCGGTCAACCACCGCATTAGTCATGTCCGCATTCTCAAAGTTGGCCTTCACTGCGTAGGCCTAAGGCGCCTCGGGAGGTGTGGGGAGGTGGCGGTCGGGGGCCGTCGGGGTGCAGGGCGCCGGATGGGGGCAGCAGAAGGGATGGGTGGCGGCAGCGGAGGGGAGCGGAGGGGAGCGGTGTGCATGCGTGTGTACGTGCGTATGTATGTACGTGTTGCGGTGGCGTGTGTGGGAGGTTTCCCCAGTCCGCCAACCCACTCCCAGCCGGACATAGAGCCTAACTGCGCGCTGCGGCGGGTGGGGGGTCTTCCATGCAGGCCCCACGATCTGCCTGGCCCCCTCCTTCCACACTTTCGACCTCCCCTTTCTAGCACCAAGCCTACATGCATACCGGGACTGCCGGACATGCACACTAATACACATACACGCCCTCCACCACATGTCTACATACATACATACATACATGCATACATGCATGCATACATACATACATGCATACATACATACGGCAGGCGGCTGGCAGAGGTTAAGGCCTGACTTCTGCTCCCAGTCGACCCAGTCGATCTGGGTTCAAATCCGCCTGCCGACTCCTCGGGTGTTTGAGGAGTGATGAAATGGGAGGTGGCCCCCATCATATGGACGGTGTAGGACGTGATAATATCAACTTGCGAGCTGACCAGGAACTAAGTTGATGCGCCGTTGATCCGCTAGATTTGGTTGGATGCTGGTGGTGAGTTGCCGAACCCAACGAATACATTCTGAAGTCGGATGGGGTGACGGATTAGGGTGCCCCTCTAGCAGGGGAGAGCAGGGACTGCCCCGGGAAAGGGGGCCGCTGGCGAAGTTAACCACCCTGTAACAACATACATACATACGCATCCCCACCCGCGCCCCCAGCCACCTTGGTTAGCACCGCCTCCTGCAGATTAGTGTTGGACAGATCCGCATCCGCCAGCAGGGCGCCAGCCAGCACCCGACCATGGAGGTCCTTGCCACTGTACGAACACAGCCGCAGATCCAGGATCTTGTCCGACACGGCGTTCGCCTGAAGGGAGCGGGGGAGCGGGGGGTCAGCCAGCAGTACGGAAAAGGAGCAGGTGGAGAATGCGATTCAAGACTACTGCTGCTACTATTAATGCTACTGTTGCTACAGCTATTGCCACTGCTGCTGCGAGCGGTGGTTCGATAACATCAGCCCGGGCTAGCTACCCCTTGACGTGCGCCATCGCGCCCGTCCGTCTGTGTCACTGTGTGCATGTCTGGCTTTGACGCCCCGTCCACACACCCCTCCCCCCCACAACGGCCTTTAGCAAACCCCGCGTACTTCATTACCATCCACAGTGCTGACAGACAGGCATACAGACGGACAGGCACGCGAAGTCCTGGGAGAGGTGCAGCCGGCGGCCTGCTGTGCAGGTCTCCGCCTCCGCACCCCCCACCCACCCACCCACGAACCCAACGTACCCCCCCAGCCCCACCTGGCCGATGGTGTTGCCCACATAGCCCCGGTCGCAGCGGTTGGGATCTGCGAGGAAGGCCAGGAGGAGGGGCAGGAGGAGGGCCACGAGGGGACGGGGGCCGGGAAGGGGGGGGTTCAGCCAACCCGTCGGCCCCTGCTGGACAGGAACCCGCACAGCACGGCCTCCCCCACCGCCTCCCTCCGTCCCGCCCTTCCTCCAACATCACCCCCACACAGACCCCGAGTCCCTCCTCCCCCGGGCCACCACCCGGCCCATTCGAACCTGGCCCTGTCTTATTCGTCCCTTACCCACCTTCCCTTCACGTCCTGCTGGCCCCTTGCCCCCTCGCCCGCTCGCCCGCCCCGCGCCCCTCCCTACCGTTGTCGATGGGCGGCAGTCGGAACTCCGCCAGTGCCAGGTTGGCGGCCAGCAGGTTGGCGGCCAGGCAGGACAGCCCGGCAGCGGCCACAGCGCCACCGGAGGAGAGGAGGGAGGGGCGGCCCTCGGGGGAGGGGGAAGCTGTTGGAGGCCGGAGCGGGGTTAGAGGGAAGGGGGAGGAGAAGGGGGACGAGAACAGATGAAGGTGTGTTTTGACACGGGTGCGGATGGATGTGGCGAGTCACGAAGGGTAGATGGCGGGGCCCGGGACGTTCGCCAGGGTGGAGGAAACAGTTGGCTTTGTGAACGGGAGCTGGTAATGCAAGCAAGGTCTCAATGGATCGGGCATTGGTCCCATTGTGAATTCGCTGGCGCGGAAGATCCATAACGAGCAGGACTTTTGCCAGCAAGCTTACGACCTAAATTGTCGCGGGACACAAGCTCTGAGTCCGGATCTTTCATGCAAGGCAACGTGAACAATTTAACACCCCACCAACCAAGCAGTAAGAAACACGCCTAGCGACGCTGCGATGCAGTAGCGCGAATTGATGTCACGGTCGGTACCATGCCAGGCTTGAGTTTTCGCACCTTGACAGCGAACAACCGCAACCGGGTTGCGCACAAATGGGGCGGGCCTCTTAGCCATTGCAGCGCGATGCATCTTTAGGGCCATTCCGTCGTCACGCTTGGCTGAGGTTTGCTGTCTTCACGAATAAATGTATTGTCTTCCAGCTTTTATGAGAAGTAGCAATGGCAAGTATACAAAACAATATGATAACTTGTCAAAAACATATCCGGATAACTTGGTCCATGCTGGTTTTGGACATATGTGGTTTGCAATCCGTTCATGGATGACAGATGCACAGCCAGCCAGCCAGCACCAGCAGAATGCAATGCTCTACCTAGTCATTTTTACGTGGTCATATTCACAATGGTGGTCATAAGCATATTCACCATCTATGGTTCTGCCAACCTGACCTTACGACTCAAAGGTCAGCCGACGGCCATCGCGAGCCCCCTGCCGCAACCTCAGCTGCTCCCCGGCAGCTCATTTTTCCCAGCATAGCCCTGTAGTATCATATTGTCCCGCTGAGGCCTGCAAAATTTGTGCCTTACCTGGCCGGGCACCTGAACTCGCGGTCGGCGTCCCTGATTCTTGTCTATCCAGGTCTATCCTTGGTTCAACTGCCTCAAGGCCTTGGCACAGAGGAAAAACGTACTAAGGATCCCTATTGGCTATTTAGTAATACCAGTACAAAGTAAGCCGTTATTCCATAGGTTAGTCTTGCAATATGCCTGGAGGCCCCTTCCTGGTGGGGTGGGTCGAATGTTGCCGACACAAGTTCCGCCGGCATTACAACGCCAGCACTGGAGGACCAGTCGATGGGTACGGGATAAGGCTGCAGTTGAATGTGGTGGCTGGCGCGGTGGCAAAGTCAGGCAGCACATGCGGTTGGGAACAGCGTACGGGCAGTCGGACGCCGGCGGAAGCCCGGACACGTGCACCGGCGGGTCAGTGGGGACTCGCTCTCTCAGCCGCTCGCTCAGCTCATCATCATCACATCCATCACCCCTAGGTAGAGGGGTTGCGGTGTGTGTGTGGACGGAGGTAGGAGGGGAAAGCGGAATATCCCCAATCGCTACTGCCTGCCCGATTGGTTCCCCGGCACATCTGTACCGGACTGCGGCCGGCAAGACAAGGCACTGGTCGTCTGCAAATGAATCACCTGCAAGCAGCAGTGCTGTAGGGACGAAGCATGGTGATATCCCGGCCGAGTTGTCGCAAGCAAGGCCCACTGCGCTTTCACCAACCTGGTTCTCGACATGCATACATACATGCAGGGTTATGTAGGGTTTGGCACCACTGGTAAGGCGCGACCACTGCCCCCGGGAGATCCCGGGATCGTTACCCGTTAGGGTCAAAGTCCTTCCGATGGTGGAAGGCATTGCGCCCCTAGTTGATGGACGGTGGTGACCTGGGATATAGTTAACCTGCGAGCCAACCAGGAATGGAGTTGCGCCGCTGTCGACCCGGCAGATTCCGTTGGATGCTGGTGGTGGGTGCGGAACCTGAGCGATCCACTGAGAAGTTGACTAGGGTGACTGGATGAGGGGCCCCGAAATACCGGGGAAGGCAGAGTTTTGCAGGGTAGCTGCCACGGGCGAAGATACACCCCCCTGTTTCACACATCATACATGCATGCATACGTACAGGCAGGCGGCTGGCAGAGGTTAAGGCCTGACTTCTGCTCCCGGCCGGCCCGGGTTCAAATCCGCCTGCCGGCTCCTCGGGTGTTTGAGGAGTGTTGAAATGGGAGGTGGCCCCCCATCATACGGACGATGTAGGACGTGATAATATCAACTTGCGAGCTGACCAGGAACTAAGTTGAGGCGCCGATGATCCGCTAGATTTGGTTGGATGCTGGTGGTGAGTTGCCGAACCCAACGAATACATTCTGAAGTCGGATGGGGTGACGGATTAGGGTGCCCCTCTAGCAGGGGAGAGCAGGGACTGCCTCGGGAAAGGGGGCCGCTGGCGAAGTTAACCACCCTGTAACAACATACGTACGGATAGGATGCATAGGGAGGGATCCCGGGGTTGTGCTCATGTGGCGGTATTCGAGCCACCTAGCAGGTAGGCGGCGAGGACCAGAAGCAGGAGGGATCACCGAATGCCGAACTGCGCTGCTGTTGAGCCTGCTATGTCCCTTGTCTTCGCTCCTCGGACCGCAAGGACGGCCGGTATTTGATATGCGACTCCTAAAGGGCCCTCAGGTCTGTTGCCACCTCACCTCATGTCGTCGTATCCGGCATGTATATCTCATGTCGTATCATGTCGTATACGTTTTCCTTCGCCTCCCGGTTTCCAGGCCTCCCCCACCACCACGGGGTTACCCCCCTCTCTCCCCCCCCGTGGCACAAGCGTGGGGAAGTCTTCCCGGGTGTATTGTAGTACTGCGGAGCTCCCACCATGACGCGTGACGAGTGTAAGTCTGTTTATTTGTTTGTTTTTCTGTCATCTTGAGCGAGTGGTGCTCAGTGCGGAGATATATCTGAGGAGGAGCTGCGCGCACCACAGCGACACCACAACACGTCATATCATATCATATCATATCATATCATATCATATCATATCATATCATATCATATCATATCATATCATATCATATCATATCATATCATATCATATCATATCATATCATCGGTATGTGATCTTGTCCGGTTACAGGTGCCGGCTGGGGAGGTGTGTTCCGTGTGGCGTCATCATGTTGCAGTACCTGTACGAGTAGCCGTACGGGTACGACTTGGAAAACCCTCATCTCCCCCTACACGGTGAACCCCCCCTAGATGGTAACCAGCACCACCAGCACCACCTGATGATACGGGCTACAGCCCCAACCACAACTACAGCTACAGCTACAAATTGAGGTTATGTCTGGCTGTGAGGATGAAGTTCTTCATTGCCTCGTGGCCTGAGGGGCAGTGATGGGGGAGACGGTGGGGGGGTGGGAGGTGTTTGGTCGTACATGGAATGGCGTCATGATAGGTACGAAGGGAGGGCAAGAGGAGGAGGGGTTCAGCAGTGAGCTCCCCGCCCGCCGGGTCCTCTGGGTGACCGAGTGGATGGGGCGGGGGATGCGGGGGGTGCGGAGTGTGTGTTTGGGGGTTTGGCGGGTGGGAGAGGGGAGGGGGGGGGCCGAGCGGTCAGCACCCTGACCGGTCAGCGTGTGGGGGGTTTGAGGGGGAGATTGATTAAAATACGAAACGTCTAATACCAAACTTTGCTGTCTGGGGTTTGAGCAATGTGGCCCGCGTTCCCCCACCTTCCCTCCCCCACCCCACCCCCTCATCACCCACCTACCTGCATCCAGCGCCACAAACCGCATCTGGCCGCTGTCCTCCCACAGCAACGTGCCCGAGGACCGGGAGAAGGCCAGTGCCCGCTCGAACAGCTCCCGACTAGCCAAGTTCTCGTACAGTACGACACTGTCGGCCCTGAGTCTGTTCATGGAGGCCTCCCACAACCGAATCTGATCCGAAACAACCTGACAGATCCAGATCCATAACAAGTAATAAGATCCGAATCCAAAGACGGGAGGGCAGGGCAATGAGAATCATGTTCAGCAAGTGCATGTGAAAGGGGAAAGAGGAGGAGGGCACAAGTAGCTGGTACGGAGCTCCCAAACCCCGAATCTCTCCACCCCCCAACCCCCACACGGGAATGTGGCTATCTGGGCTGGGATAACCGGCCCGGTGGGGGCGGTGGGGCAGGTGGGTCGGTACACCCACACCGCACTCTCATGCACACCTACAACCCATGAACACTCACCTCGGGTACGACAGGCGTACGAGACGCAATGGAGGGGTGTGGACGGGCTGCCAGGTACGACACGAGCTCGTCCGCGGCGATACCCCTTTGTCCGGGTACGGGATGGACGGGTCACACGGGGTGAGCAGTGTGTGTATGTATGTATGTTATTGTGGTTGTGGTTGGGATTGTGGTTGGGTTGGGGGGATCCGTCACGTCACGGACACATTACTTGACAGTAAAGCACCTGCTACCGACTGCCGACTACTAACGGTCCGGGGCAATGACGGGGGCCGACGGGGCGGGGGAACGGGAACTGCTGATGGGTCAGACGGCAGGGTTCATCATCCTCTCCTCATACACCGCC